AAGAAAAGACAGTTGATCAGCAGCTGAAGACCATCAAACGCCAGGACGTAGCGGAAGATAAAAAGAGGAGCACAAAAGAAGTGTATTTTGAGGGTGGACGAAAGCAGACCCCTGTATACAAGTTGGAGAGTCTGGATGTCGGGGACGTCATAAAGGGTCCAGCTATGCTCGCGGATGGTACGCAGACCATTGTGGTACCGCCCAAAACAAATGCGCTGGTCACGGAAACTCACGTCATCTTGGACAATGAGAAAGGAGGGGGCAAAGAGGAAGGGTGCGGTGCCACTTCCACCTCCCAAAACATCTAATCTACAGGAAGAGGCTAACAGTGTACTATAGATACCACCGAGAAAACACTGACCGGGAAGTCGACCCCATCATGCTAAGTATCTTTGGCCACAGATTCATGGCCATTGCCGAACAGATGGGCCGGGCCCTGCAGAAGACCAGTGTCAGCACCAATGTTAAAGAACGCCTCGACTTCTCCTGCGCCATCTTCGACTCTACAGGCGGACTCGTCGCAAACGCGCCCCATCTACCCGTTCATCTCGGCTCCATGTCAACCTGTGTCCGGCGACAAGCCGAGATCTGGAAAGGCAGGCTCGAAAAGGGGGACGTTATTATTTCCAACCATCCTTCATATGGAGGCACACATCTCCCAGATGTCACCTTGATTATGCCCGCCTTCGACGAGACCGGCAAAAACATCCTCTTTTACGCGGCATCCCGCGCACATCACGCCGATATTGGAGGCATCACAGCCGGCAGCATGCCCCCTCACTCCCGCGAACTATACCAGGAGGGTGCTTCCATTATCAGCGAAAAGCTCGTTAGCGGCGGTAAATTTGATGAGAAGAGAGTCATCGAGCTCTTTTACGACGAGCCAGCCCAGCATCCCGGCTGTAGCGGCACCCGGACACTTGCTGACAACATCAACGACCTCAGGGCCCAAGTATCAGCCAACCAAAAGGGAATTTCCCTCATCGAAAGCCTCATTAAAGAGTATGGAGAACCCACCGTCCAGTTCTACATGGTCAATATTCAAAGGAACGCCGAGCTCTGCGTTCGCAACCTCCTCAAGGACATCCACAAACGATTCAAAGGCAAAAATCTTGAGGCTGTCGACTACATGGACGAAGGAACGCCCATCAGGCTCAAGATTACTATCGACCCGGACAAAGGCAGCGCCGACTTTGACTTTGCAGGCACAGGACCCCAGGTATACGGCAATGTCAATGCCCCGCAAGCCATCACCTACAGCGCCATCATATACTGTCTCAGGTGCCTAATATCCGAAGACATCCCCCTGAACCAAGGCTGCCTCCGCCCCATCAACGTCAACATCCCGCCAAAATCCATCCTGTCCCCCGCCCCCGGCGCGGCCGTCGTAGGCGGCAACGTGCTTACCAGCCAGCGCATCACAGACGTTATCTTCAAAGCGTTTGAGGCTTGCGCTGCCAGCCAAGGCTGCTGCAACAACCTTACGTTTGGATTCGGCGGCAACGTGTCCGGGTTAAAGGCCGTACGGGGCTTCGGATACTACGAGACTATTGCGGGGGGGAGCGGCGCCGGCCCCGACTGGGTCGGCACATCTGGCGTTCACGTTCACATGACGAATACCCGAATCACAGACTCGGAGATTTTCGAGCGCAGATATCCTGTGCTATTGCGCGAGTTTTCAATTCGCAAGGGTTCGGGGGGCAACGGCCAGCACCGTGGCGGCGACGGCGTCATCCGGGATATCGAATTCCGGATTCCCCTGCAGGTATCCATCCTCAGCGAACGGCGCGTATACCACCCGTATGGCATGAATGGCGGAGAGGACGGCGAGTGCGGACTGAACCTGTGGGTTCGCAACGTCGAAAAGACAAACTGGGAGAAGTCGCTCAAGCAGTTCCGGGAACCGCATTCCAACGACGAGACCGAGGAAGCCGAGTACGAAGAACGCTACATCAACATGGGTGCCAAGAACAGCGCGGCGATGAAGGCTGGCGATCGGATCATCGTATGCACACCAGGTGGCGGCGGCTGGGGGATGCCTGGGCAGAAGAGCCGCGTCAGGGATCAGGTGGACCACACCGAGAGCTGGAAGAAGGGCAGCGGTGCGGCTAGAGAAGATACGGCCCTACAGGCATAAGATGACGTGCCTTCGGGAAAATACAGTCAGTACATTGACTTTTACGGATGCGGGGTGTGGGCTGGAGCGGACAACCAACAATCTGTCTGCCTTGATCTCAGGCTGAGAAATCCAACCCTAAGAATAGGAGCTAGGGTTGTTCAGATATACTACGGAGTAGACCTACACCAACAAGAAAACCATTGGCATGAATAAACTTTGAAACACAGGCATTCCCCACGCACATCTCGTATCAGATCAAGGACAAAAGAGGAAAAGACACATGCGTACAACCCCGGTCCCAACACAAACACGTGTCTGTTGAACCAGTGTGTCGGGACCCGGGGCCGTTTTCTGCATCATCCTACCAACACGACTTGGCGGTTGGTCCCGTCAATGGTTGCATTTCATAGTGCATCTGACATGGCATGCCACGTTTTGGCTGAAATAGGCATCTTCCGGAGCTTCGAAAAGAAAGACACAAATTGCTCAGCAGGCGGCATATCCGGCACAATCCACATTTGGTCACCGGCCACGGCAACTTTTTTGGCACAGCTTCTTCTGGCACAATTTTGGCTGCTCCGTACTCTGTACAGGCATGGCTGTAACACCCTGCGCCCCTTTTATCCATGGTGGCCAAGCTGCAAACCACTCGACTGTGCTTACTTTGCCCTTTTCAGTCGATCGTCAGCCCTACAAGGCGGCGCATGCCGGGCTCAGCCTCGGGTTATTGGCGAGGAGTGGACATATTTGGCCCCCAACGCTCCTCGTGCGGACCCTGTTGCTTGATGAGCTTCGTCGTTCGTTCGTTCGTTCCCGGAAATCTGATTTGCATGCACCATGCACTCCCTAGCGCGGTGCTAAATCGCCACCCGCTCGTTTGGTGAACCGGCGTCTTGCGCTTTCGAAGTTGGGTTGCTGGGAGGTCTGGTTGCGTACGAAGTAGGGAGTGTGAAGCCTTTCGGACACGGTTTGCGAAATGAGGTTGTCGGGGCCGCGACATGGAGAGAGATGGGAAGAGCACGGCTCGCCTGGTTGACCTCGGACCACGAGTTGAAATTCTCTACCCACCGCTACTACCACCACCCTTTCGATCACGCCAAGATCGAGCCACCAGCGCGTGGTTGGCAAGCCAAGATACGGGGGCTTACACAAGCCATAAGCTGCTAGACACCCTGTGCTTTTCCGGGGCAACAGAAGACGCCCCAAACAAGTTACGGTTCGGTGTCGTCTTAGTAAGGGTAGAATATGGTCGGAGCCGAACCTTCACGCCTCTCGGATTCTAAACCCGGTCACGAGAGATTGAAACATGTAAGGCATGATGGAGGGCCTTTTGTGCATTTCAGCCTCGCTGTCCTATCCTTGGGCCCTTGCTCAAGTCTGACCACTCTGCATTGTTGAGTTACCGGGCGCGGCATCGTAATTGGCTGGCTTGAGATTACTCGCTGCAGCACGGAATACGCACCTCTTTCGTCCGCCTCACCGGTTTCCAGTATTTTTCTTCCGCAACGGACACTAAGTGACTAAAGCTAGCCCGGGTCCTGTCCGGTGCTTCTGCCCGGGGAGGGACAGAGTACAGAGTACTGGCCAACTGCTGCTTGCTTAAACGAGCTTCGGTAAAGCAGCTCTGGAAGCTTTGGTCGCCGACGCCTCGATGTGCTGACGTCCTGTTCGGATCTCCAGTCCCAAGATCGAACCACCACGCTTCAGCCAGTAGAAGGACGCGCGGGGATCGTCCGCTACGTAACTCACGAGGCCAATGCCATTGGCCTGGTGCATACAATCTGTCCTGTCCAGGGAGGAGAGGAGATAGAGAAGGCCGGGCTACCCCGCCATATCCCACTTAATTGACTGAATATTGCGCCACGGGTGCTTGTTCTACCGCGTGGTGTTGGATGAAAGCTGGTCTAGGCCAGCGCCAGCCATGGCCCAAGGCCACGACCGTCCGTGCCCCTGGACGCCCACGCGGCCACTGCCGCCGGATAGTGTGCGGAATAGGGCCCTCGGAGCCTTTGACACAATGACAGTTGCCGGCAGCTCTGATGGCTTCATCTGGGCCATCGGGCGACATGGAGCAAAGCCGCCAGTCCCCATTGCGAAGAATGTCCTTGGAAACCATGCCCATGCCCATCCCTCCCTCTCCTTTGCCCACATCGGCCCGCTGTGCCTACGGCCGATAGCAACGCCCCACCGGCCGATGTATGTTTCGCAGTCCAGGACCATTTGAAGCCATCCGGGCATTCAGCAAGGTTGTAATGTGAGGATCCCAGCTAGCTCGAGACTCTTCCCGCAGTTGCTATAGGCGCCCTAAGACCACGCTGGCCCCCCGTAGCCACCTGAGCAATGTTGGAGAGCATGCGGACTGGTATTGTAGAGACAAGAGCCGACGAGCGGTCCCTGGCTGACCTGGTATGCTGAGCTTCCGGTAAGCCGAGCCGCAACGAATCGCTGCCTTGTCAGAATGGGCAACCGAGAAAAAGGCATTACATTCCCGCGTGGCGCCTGAGTTGGTGGTGGTGTGTGTGACTGTGTGTCCCTCAAGCCTGTATCTGTATCAAACATGTGTGGTTCTATGGTGGAGGCCACAGACGTTCGAATCCGACTCTGGACCTCCTTCCACTTCCTGCATTTGTCGGTAATTGCCTAGCTGTCTGTTTTGCTGCATTGCGGATGTAACGTCAATGACGCGGAAGGACAAGGCTCCCCCCCCTTCCACGGCCTGGTAGTATATATATACGCACATGTGCGCCAAGTGTTTGGTTATCAGAGCCAAATCCACTCAACTTAGCACTTGCTTCATGCAGGCTTTCGAAGACCGGCCTACCGAGAGGAGAGACGCGAAGAAGAGCATTTGGCCCGCGGCGGCCAGCGGCTTGCACCAAATATGATGCGCATTGCCGTCGCAGGTGGAGGTGGACTCGGATACCTGCTGGCGCTGCAGCTTTCACAGGCAGCCAACGCTTACAACGTTGTCGTTTTATCACGATCTGTTGGTTTGCCCAACCTCATCTCGGGCGCTCAGGTTACCATGTTAATGTGGCATAGGCAAGACCCGAATTCGGCCAGCTCGACGTCCAACTCCATGTTGTCGACTACAGTGATCACGACAAGCTGACCTTTGCTCTTCAAGGCGTGGATCTGGCCATATCGACTATATCGGGGACGGAGCAGCTCAGCCTCATCAACGCGGCAGGACGTGCTCGCGTGCGTGTCTTCGTACCGTCGGAGTTTGAGGGGAGTTTGAGCCGGCGACCATCGCACAACGACCCGTTGGACCGCGGGTCGACGCAAGCAATCGCTCTGCTGAAACAATGGGAGAGTGCGTCGCGCATGAAATATACCGTCTTTGCGTGTGGCATCTTTATGGAGCGATTTCACCCCTACGGCCTCGGGTACCTAAACATTGGGTACGGCAGCGGCGTTTCGGCGGTGGGAGATTATCTCCTCGACATCAACCATGCAACAGCAGAATATGCGGCCGAAAACTCTAAGGGGCACACAGTAAGGGTGTGCTTAACATCGGTCTACGACGTGGTGCGCTTCATAGTAGCGGCCATAGACTTGGGACCTCGAAACTGGCCACACGAATTCACCATGCGGGGGGACAGAATGTCTGTCCGAGACGTTGTCGGGACATGCAGTCGCGTCAGGAACGGTAAGGTGTCCCCAGGTCAGAGTTGGAGCAAGGGCACGATTACCCAAAAAAAAAAAAAAAAGGAAATACTAACTGCTCCTGGTCAGTGGCCTTTGATCATCACATGCGGCAAAGCTCCGAGCTCCAGTCATACCTGGCTTACTTTGTCCAGGCCGGCGACGGAGATAAAGTTGCATATTACCAGCGCCTCATTGCCACGACAAACGGACGCTATGATTTTTCACGGGCCTCGCTGAATGACGCCTTGGAAAAGAGTGGCCAGGGGGATGTACAGCCCATGACCCTGTTGCGGTGGCTCACAAACGTCTGGCAGTCCTTATGACGGGGCCATCAAACATTCAACATTCAAGAGCGGGAGCCGGGCGTGGGCATTTGTCCAGTCCTCTCTGGCTGTGGCACGCAACGGCGAGAAAACAAGGGGAGAAGACGGGCGAATCGATGCTTTGGGCTCCGGGGTTGGGGCCTTTGGGCATCATTTGGGGGCAAGAAAATGGCAACAGGCTCGAGCGGATGGACAAGCATTTGGGAAAGGCATTTGGCGACGGCGTTTAATCTCGGGCTCTTTTTTTTTTTTTTTTTCCCATGGATTCGGTTCGGATGTGATAGTGAAAAATACCCCATTTTTTTCCTCGGATGCTCTTGCTCAAACAGGGGAGACAAGGGAGGTGCGGGCGAGAGCGGGAAGGTAGTAACTCCAAGGCAACTTACACAACATACATTGACGTGTCGGGGCGGGAGGTGATCGGGGTGGAGAGCATTGACAGGCAGCGGGCAGTTGCTCCTTCCACCAGGTGACAATTTGATGTTTACGGAGTAATTCGGTAGAATGACTGACGTGTCCCACGCAACAATACGCCGGCGGGGAGACGACAAACATAAAACATGAAACAAGGATGAAAGATGGATTGATTGACGTATACGGAGTATTTGGCCATGAATGCCACCAACGGCGGCTAGTGCCAGTGCCAGTGCCAGATGTCAATACATGTCAAATCAATATCTTGCCGTCCTGGGCAACGTCAACGGCTGTTTGTTGTATTGACAAGCACGCACGGTTTCATGTGCTGCCAGCCCACTATTGTGTGCACCATCGACGCCCGCAGCGCATTGATCATGGCCGCCGTGTCCGAGCACTTGCATTGTTCAATCTTGTTCCTTTGACTACATAAACGATACGGCCCGGCACGCGCCAAATGCAACCAACGCGGCACATGGCGCTGGGATGCGCATTAAGGTTCCTGCCGTCGCCCAAACGGGCCACCTACTTGGATGTTCATGCACTCATCCAGTCTCTTGCCAACGGACCGGCGCAGTGCCTACCAGACATGTAATGTAAGTCTGCTGGGCTTCTCTAGACAAGACGCCCAAAATGCAGAGGCTCTGTCGATTCACTTTTTCTGGCCCGTCCGGCTGGCCTCGTTTTCCATCTTTTATTTGTCATCTACTATATAGCGGCGGCGGCGGCTAGTCTTGACGGCTGAGCTCTTCCTTCAGCTTGACATGGTTTGATCAGCGTGCGTTTCCTCCGCTGTCATACCCAACTAATGCCATGCGCTGTGCAGCCGGCTTCTGTGAGAGTGACACTGCGTTGAGGCAGTACGACTTGATTATTTTATTTACTTATTTATTTATTCTTCTCGCGGTTCTTGTCCGAAAACGCCGCCCAACACACGGCAAGTTCCTCCGCGGGCATATTTTTGTGCAAAACTACAAAACGCAAGCACATGTATAATTATGATGCCTGTGCTTCAGCTTCAGCCGCTCCTGTAGTCTCTCCTTCCGGGTCGAACTCGTCACCGAATTCAGTCACGATCCATAGACAAAACTGCTCCCACTCAACTTGCCACTGTTTCAGCCGCTCCGCCTTGATGCCGCTGCCTAGGCTTGCTTGGCGAATGTCGTTTGCCCACGCCGCGGCTTCTTGATCTTCAAAGGCGGCCCACCTCACACTGTTCTCCGCCAGACTTCCCAGGCCAGCGAGCCCAAGATTATCCCAGCCCTGGAGAGCCTGCCAAAAGTCGTGCGACATGCCGGCTGTGTCCTGGCCGAGCATGGCCGGGTCGTCGTTGCAAAGGCAGCATGCTACTCCGCGAGCTAGCAGCGCGGGCAAGGGGTGTGCGAGCACGGAGCCGCAGAGACGGAGCACTTCGTTTGAAATCGGGCATGATTCAACGAGAATGCGTTTATCCTTGACCATGTCAATCAACAACGGATGTTTGTATAAGCTGTACGCGTGGCCAATGCGTCTTGTTCCGAGCAGGATGGCATCAAACAGGTTAGAATCGGTGCTGTTGCCGTCCCCCAGGGTTTCGCCGGCGTGGAAGAAGAAGGGAATATTGATCCCTTCCTGGGCGCATTGTTTTCGAAACCAAAATAGCTCTGGTAGCACATCCACGAGGGGTTTTCCAAGATCCTCTGGTCCAACCAAATCATATCCAGCAATGAGGTGCGGAAACTCCATTTTAGTTGTGATGCAGTGATCCATATTTTCGATTAGGGGTCTTGTATCGATACTTCGCAGCGTCGTCCAAATGGTCGTCAAACCCCAGAACCCTTCCCCTTCTGGGGAGGCTTTGAACCTGGCGACCTCTTCTTCAATGACCTTGAACATGTGGCTGTAATCCTGCTCCGGCTCTTCCTGGCGGTCACGACAATAATCTAGCGGCCAGGTAAACCTACAACAAGAGATTAACACACACACAAGGTCTCAATGGCGGCATATTACAAGTAGGATTGCGGCACATACCTGAGCTCAACCCAGTTTACTCCGTCCGACTTCAGCTGGCTCATCAAACGCCGCAGAAAAGCGCGGAAGATGGGCTCATAGTGGATGATGGTGGCGACGACAATGAAGCATTTCGCAAACTTTCGCCATATGGCATCGATGCCGTGATGATGCTCGTGGCTGTCGGTCGTTGACAATGTGCAGCGGCTTTTCAACCAGCGGAGAAATCCTTGGCGTCCGCCATCAGGAAATTCATCCGCCGCCTTGGTGAGCAGGATGAAAGTTTGGGGCTTGTAAGACGCTTCCCAAAGCGAGCCGTCAGTCCTCTCACTTGACTTGTACCGGAAGTTCATGGCAGCATTTTCCAGTGCATCCTTGCCCCTGAGCGGCCTGTCGCTTGACATGTGTATTCCAGGGGTACCGAGCAGCACGTCAAGGAGATAGTCAAAGTTGACCATGGCATCCATGTGGGAATGCAAGAGACATCCTTTGGGCATCTTTCTGACAATTTTCCACAGGTTGGTACTCTCCATACGGTCCTTGGCAAACATGAACATCATGCCAGGAAAGATGCACTCATGGCTGGTCTGGGCCATGTGCTCTTCCACATCTGGCGTCCAGACGGTCTTGTGCTCATGGCTGCGGATTCGGTCGACGATGGTGCAGGCCCTTTTGGCGATTGGCGAGAGCGACTTTCTAAAGGAAGTATCCGAGCGCGACGTCTTTTCTTGATTGATGAGGTTTTCACGGCCAGCCATGTACTGCTGAATAAAAGGATCTGAGGCGGAGGGAATGTCCTGGGAGATTTCGTCCCACACGTCATTTGGCATTGCCATGTTGGGAAGAGGGTACAGCGTGAGGCTGTGACGGGCACGCCCAGATGGCAGGCAGAAGCAGAGCCGAGATTGGCGCGATCTAACTGAGCCAAATAGTGGTCAAAGGACGAGACGTCAGCGTGGAACAGCAAGTTGAGTTGGTTGTATTAAAATGGGTGGCTCGGCCGACACTGATGTGGTATTGTTCCGACGACGACTCGACTCGACTCGAACTGTTTGCCGTCGTTGCTAAAGCAGCGGGGCTTTGCAATGTACGGAGTACATCAATAGGTCGCCAGGGGTCGAATTGGTCAAAATGGGTTGCACAACCAGCGTCGGCCAAACATTGAAGTGAGAAAGAAGGGCGAGAAATGGCCGAGCCGGCCAGTGAGAGGAGGCAGCATCATCGCGGGGTGGCTTGGGAGACTAGAGACGGCAAGCCGCGGCGTTCTTGTCGATTCGAAGAATGGAAGAAACGCTGCTCCGGAGTGGAGCCAGTGGGAGACTTGGGAGAGGCTCAGAAGAGACTCGGTCCATGGTTTTCGCCTTTTGCCTCCTCCACTCCTCTACGCCTCCACGAGGCCCGTGGCGATCGGCTCGACGCAACAGCAGATGCTCGCATGCTACTACTAGTACTATGTATATCCAGAGGTTGCTCTGATCCCCCGCTTTCCTGCAGAATGCATCCCCTTTGCTGACGCCGGCTCTGTCTGACCCTCGTGTCTGCTGCCTGTCTCAGTCTCAGCCTCAATTCACAACACCAAGGCAGGATCAGCCAAGAACCATCGGTGTGCTGACCCAACTCCCGTCATGACCATACTTGGACCCTGGACGTCATCACGCAGCCTATCATGCTCGAGATGCGCCTCTCCACAAGTGCCGTCTGTTGGCTTGTCTGGAGCTAAACCACACCACCTTTCCAGCTCGCACGTCGTTGGTCGGAAAACTATCGTCCGCTTGAGGCACCGACAAGTCATCGCCTGTGCTTCGCGTCACGGCTCCTTGCGCCGTTCCGTTCTGGCCCGTAATGCCCTCCGTTGACATCACCTCTCCAAACTGCCGGTAGCGTCCTTTCCGTCTTCTGCCCACTCACCGTGAGCGACCTTCATCTCATCTCATCACCTGCAGCCCACATCACGGAAGCACATCGCTATCGGGCGCTTAGAGCCCGCAGCCCTTCAACTCCAGGAACAGGCCGGGACTCTGCAAAGTCATTTCCGTAGTGGCTCATTACTCTTTTGGGCGTGACCGGATGCACGTCTCGCCCCATGGGAAGTTCGATTCAACCAACGGCAGTTGGCATATGAGTGTTTTCGGTGTACAAGAAGTAAATAATGCACATTGCTGACGGGGCGGCGAGGTTACCAAAATTGACTTGTAAGTTTTTCCATGCAATCACGAGACAATAAACTTGGCACAGGCCATTCTACAAAATATTACAAAAAGGGCCATTATTCCCTGTTCCCTCTTGCACACCTGTAGATCCGTGAAAAACACCACTTATACCACTTTCTACTACTGCGCCATCCTAGAAGCTCCAGCTGATTACAAAGCTATATATTCTCCATAACATCTCTTGCCCGAATAAAAAAAATGTTACATCTTAATATCCTCGCACTCGCCCTCGTCCCAGCCACAACATGCCTCGCCCTTCCCCGGCATGATGTCCGCCCCGACACATGCTGCTTTACACTTCACGACTCATCAACTGGTGAAATCGTCCGGCAAGAAACCAACTCCGGCTTCCTTTACCTAGGCGGCTCTCAGCCTACGGGCTGGTATTGCATCAAGCTCTCTGATCCCAATAAGATCCTCTGGGACGCCTTCAACAACGCATGCTTTGTCAACCCCGATAAAGTGTTTCAGTGTCTCGATCCTACTCCGAGCAACGATTCTTGGGGCATGGAGCAGAGTGGTAGCGACGTGCTGGTTGTGGTTAATAGAGATTCGTCGTTTAAAGTATGCCCTACGGATTCGGGAAACATGATCTATACCAGTGCCAAGAAGGATGAGGGTTGTAGGAGCCTAACATTGAAGGCAGAGGGGCTAAAGGGGAGCTGTGGGAGTTTTCAGGGATGATTTTTGTGTTCCGAAACTGAATCCGCTGGACGAGATTTATATTTTTTTCTTTTATATGATTTGTTGTCATGGAAAGGTTGTGCAACTTCTCACATCAAGACACTCAGTACGCATCACTGCCATCAAATATAACCAACCTTGTGAGAAAGCTACAACTTGGCAGCTACATCCCCCCCATGGCCGTACACAATGCCAAGGTCCTTGTTCAACTCGTCCTCCGTGCTTCCTCTCGCCCTCCTCTCAACGCCAAACTTGTCCTCCACAAATCGTACAAATACTTCCTTGGCCACTGGATTCCCATCAGTGCCCGCGTCGACGTACAGCAACACCGAGGCGAGTATATCACCCAACTGCCAAACAACCTCGCGCGCTTCACCCATCAGATCCGCCTGCTCCGTCCCCTCAATCTTGCTCTTCAGCGCAGCCCACTTCTCAACCGGCTCCCAACCGGCCGGTCGTCCTGCCCTCCCCTCGAAACCCCACGCCTTGCGAACCACTTCATCCAAGGCCGCCAAAGAATCCGCACCACCGCGCGCATGTTTCATTGCGCGGACCAAGTCCGTACACAGAACATCCGTCGTGCCCTCCCAGATGGGCAGCACGCAAGTATCCCTATATATACGCGAGATGTTGAGGTACTCCTGCTCCTCGTTGACGAGGTAGCCCACGCCGCCCAGCGCCTCCATGCACGAGAACAGCAGCGCTACGCTGGGCTTGCAAACGTACGCCTTTGCGAGCTGGCTCATGATTCGGAGCAGCGGCTCGACGAGTTTCTCCTGGGGCGTGAGGGCGTCCAGCGCCGGCGAGGGCCTTGCGCCGAGCGAGTGCTCGGAAACGCCCAGCACGTACGACGTGTAAAAGGTGACGAGCATGAGGCGGCGGTACTCTGCTGAGATCTTGGCCAGCGTCCTCATGTGCAGCGGGCTGTCGACCAGTCTCGTCCTCTTGCGGCCGCCGGCGCCGACGTCCCGGACGAGGGCGTAGGCTCGCGCGATTCCGAGGCCGCGGCCCACGCCGCCCACCGCCGCGACAGCCGAGTGGACGCGGGTGAGGGTGAGGATGGTGCTGATCTCGTGGATGCCCCTGCCCTCCCGGCCGACCATCCAGCCGCGCATGTTGTCCAGGACGAGCTCCGCCGTGGGGAGGGACTGCGTGCCGAACTTGTTCTTGAGGCGCTGGATGCGCACGCCGTTGAGGGCCCTGCCGTCGTCCCTGGGCTCGCCGGTCAGTGTGGTGGCCTCGGGATCGTGTTTCCTCATGGGCGCCAGGAACGTCGACAGCCCCCCCGCGGCGGTCCTGCCCAGGAGGACCGTCATTTCCGAGTCTGTCGCGCTGGAGAACCATTTGAAGCCGTTGATGGACCACGGGCCCAGAGGAATCTGGCCCTGCTTGGAGGCAAACCCGTTGGCGCCCTCTGGCTGGTACGTGGCGACGGTTTCTGTGAGGGAGACGTCGCTCCCGCCCGTTCGCTCCGTCATCCACTGTCCGCTGGTCCAGGCGTACTTGGGATCACGGGACGTGAGCCGCTGGTAGGCGTCTGTAAAGACCTTTTTTTCCGCGGCGGACAGGGCAGCAGAGAGCTCGGGGTGGGAGAGGTGACGACGGAGGAGGCATGCGGCGCCGTCCTGCATGGCCGATGGGCAGCCCACGTTTGCACAGGATCCGACCCAGAGGTGGGTGCGGAGGAATTGAAGCGGGCGACAGAATGCGCCGTAGGGCGTATCATAGCCCGTGGCTACCATTCTATATTCACGATGCTCAGCTTTCGCGTAAAAGCCACGGGACGGGGTTGGAAGTAGTTGGTCCCCTTACCCCTTTGACAGCCCAAAGTCCTGCAAGCTCCGCCATCCCTCGCCGGTAATCAGCTCCCCCTTCCATTTTCCAAAGGCGTCTCGCCCTGAGCCCTTGAGGTACGGCTTGTTGTGTTCTGAATCAGTGACCCAGGTGAAAATCTGGTCCGAAATCACGTCCTGTCCAAACGACGATACTTCGCCCCCTGCCTTGGACGCTACCTCGGCAGAAAGAAATACTAGGAATCCTCGTCAGCATTCTATATATATATGCATCCGGTTCAGATGGACCTATTGGCAGGCTCGACGGGGAGAGAAGGGGGGGAAGCTTGCATTTAAAGCATCTCTGGAACGACGCATCATCGTGAAACTGGTTCCTCAAGACAGGCGCCTTCTGAAAGAAGCCCTTGTCAGCACCCGAAGGCTCCATGATCAAAGTCACAAGATGCCAAAATGCGGGGAAATGAAAACACACATTCCTACGAGACTATTGTACAAGACAACGGCAATAACAAGCATTTAAGCAAGAAGCTAGTGCTTCAACGGAGGCAATTCCGCACTCGCATGGGAGTGGCGTCTGGAGAAACCGAGGCAAATCGGCCTCAAGAGTGGGAACCTGACTGTCTGCCGGAAATCTTTCCATGGACAACTACTAGCATGTGCGGGATGATTGTTGCAGAGAGGTGCAGAGAGTGACGGCGGTAACACGGCAGACTTTGGTGAGCGTCTGGCGTCGTGGTTCCCCCCTTGCACTCGGATGCAACCAGACGGTTTGCGCGGAATCACAGAGAGGCTGGCGGGGAAGCAGGCGAGATGGTGAGCACGGGAAGATCAGACGGCGAGAAGGGGGGGCGAGCGCCGGAATGGCTGCCGAGTGAATATTTATTAGCATAAATGACGGCGATGCGTAGTTGAACATCTACACCCGGGCACGGTACAATATGCCTTGGAGACGGTGCAATGAACGAAGCCATGAAATGAAGCCGTCGTGCATCATCCGCAACTTGGTGGAAGAATGGACAGCTCCACAGCATGACTAGCCAACCAACACGCTCTGTGCAAGGGTTGGACTCCACTTTTCTGCGTGAAACGTCCATAGTACTCATTAACAGCTCGACTCGCAACATTAGCCGCAGTCGTCTAGGGGTAAGGACACCAGTTTGTGGACCCAGCGAAACACTGGAAACCGAGGTTCGAGTCCTCGCTGCGGCACGTTATTTTTTCGCCTTCCCTTTCCATGGGACAGCGAATTGACAGCACTCATTCCTTTCACATCGCCGCAGTCGTCTAGGGGTAAGGACACCAGTTTGTGGTTTGGTAGCGGATCACTGGAAACCGAGGTTCGAGTCCTCGCTGCGGCACACGGAATATTTTTTGTACTTTGCCACGTCAAGCAATGACCTTTTTTTGAAGAAAACCTTTGTTTGGTTATATTTATAGTGCTTGCGAACTACTCGAGCATTTGAATCTCCCTTTTTTTTAAACCTAATTAATGCATAATAAAGGGCTAGATGACAGTTGAAGATTCCGCATAACCCTTGCATCCTGGGTACTCGCCAAGAGCAGGCAGGGTGCTTGTAGAGTAGCCCTGTTATGGCATTGCTCTAGCCTATTGCAAGGCCCCTTGACTTTAACCCCTTAATCATCAAAGTTGCTCATGTCACAATTCACTGGTCACTGGCGCTGGCAGGCAGCTTGTTTCATTGGTGTTGGAGCTGCAAAAGTCAGACTGAATAAAAGTGACAGGATCGTGTTTCTGGAAAAGCGACGAACACGAGTTATCTTGTATTTCCTCGCAAGTAGTCGTCCTGGGTTCTTGCGTATTCTTGACTACTATTCCCAGTGCACACACATGCTTTTCCTAAAATACACTTGCATCCATTATACAATGCTTTGCGAATAAGCTCGCTGAAGAGGCCAAAAGCCTTGTTCATGGCGGACAATACAGGCAGTGTCTTGCCCATAACAACCCCATGACACAAACATATTCTCGTCTATCGCCCGTAGCGGCTCAAAGAAAAATGATGTGTACATACATGACTTTATTAGTGATTGACCATGCGCAGCAGCGTCCCGGCCCACCAGTGCCTGTTAGATCTGACGTGTCTGATAGAATATCCGACCAATCGCCAACATGGTTGGGTGGCATGCAAATTGTCGCGTGGCAGTCTCTGACACCTGGTGTATCCGCATTGACTTGGGGAGCCATGGATATTCATGACCCCTTGTAGAAGTCGAACGGCGTGGTGACGGCAAATCCCTGTTGCGCCAGGCGGCATATCGAACGATACGGCGATTATTGATGCCACGGAAAGAGTCGACAAGATCAAGTGGTCAACCACTAGACACCTTGATCTACTGGGACTTGTAGAGGATGGGCCATAGGCCCGTAGCTCGTCGCCTCAATATGCAGAGACTGTTGTATAAGCACGTATAGCCAGGCTAGGCAACGTCTAGTTTTGTCGGCATGATTGCCATTCGAGGGAATCCATATTGCGCGAGCTTTGAGAACATGAGCCACCCAACTAGCCAAGACACATGCTAGGTATTCTCCGCTTGTACGGAGTTACGCAGGTCTGGAACAACATCATCAGCCTGAGTCAAGGGCCCGTACGGCTGGACGGCGGCTGGCAGTACGGAGTACGATAATAATATGTACATTGGGTGATGATTGACAAGCATCTAATGGGCCACCGCCCGGCGTAGCCAGCGGTGGTCAGGAAAGAATTGTTAGATACTTTAGGTACTGGTCGAGGCGTTGGGCTTGGCGATTGATATTAGAAAATAACGCGCGTGCAGCGGCGTCACAGAGGGCCGCTGCATCATCACATGGTGATCCGATTAAGCTTGACAAGGTGGTTATTCTGGCCCACGGACTGCTCGACAGCCCCGACCATGTGGCAACCTTGGGTCAAAGAAGCAGGTGGTTGAGAATATTGTAGTTGTTGGTCTCGCTTATGGCGTAGAGGGAGCTGATTGCCATGGCCCCAGAAATGATTGCCACGGCACGGAGGACTAGACGGCACGTCCTTGCTTGTGAATGAGGCGTATGTACAGACGGAGTACGCAGTCGACACTTGTCTTTGAGCAAACCCGGCAGGAGGCGAGGTCCTCCGTACTTCAATCCCGAGACCATCTGACCATTGGAGCCGGGGCTCGAAGGCTACAGTCCGCTTCATGCATGTGTCTGGGGCATGCAGAAGCCGCCAAGGCGCTAAACTGGCATCGTTAGCTAAACAGCGAGTATTTGGCGAACAAGGCCGAGCGGCAATCTCAATCTGCTTGGGAGAGATGAAAGAGTAACTTGACCCTGCAAGAAAACCTACACGCCCTGTTTGTACACCCCTCTGTCCAGCCAGGCTCAGACTGATGACATTCCGTCCATGGTACCGCCTGCCGTCCACCTCTTGACTCTTGACTGTCGGACTAGCTCAGTCGGTGCGAAGCACCAGTTGACAGCGCTGCTACGTGTTGCCACGAGACCACCTCCCTTGGGCTTCAGTGCTTCCGTTTCCAAAGCCCAATACAATGTAACTAGGAGATACAACAGCAGACTTTGAGGCGCGTCCGTCTCTTATCACTTGGCGTTGATTCGCAAAGTTAATCACCTACCCTGCCCGATGTTACGGTGAAGCTGAACCCGTCCTCCATAGTCTGGTGGTGGAAGACGGTTTCCAGGTCCTGGCGAGAGGCGAAAGAGCGAGTCAATCACGACATGGCGTCGGTCCTTGACGACTCGTCCCCCTACTGGGCTGCGGGCCATGGATAGAACCATGAAAACAAAGACCGATTTCCATTCAAGATTCTGCATCGAACAGAATCGGCACAGCCGTTCAATGCTCACCAAGCCATCTGCATGGACAAACTGCCTTGCATTCAGGAATCCGCTGCCCGTCACCCGCGTCGGTGATTGTCCGCCGTCGGGGGAGGCGGATGAAGCGGTGTTGTATGTATGGAGGAGCACTGAAAGACGTTTTTGGCACCTGCTGGAGTCGGCGCTATGTCTGGTGAAGGCTGAAGTGTTGGCTTTTGGCTTTATGTATGTACTCCATATGGCTGCAAAACGGGTCTGGCTCACAGAGTCACAGCAGCCATGAGCCACGACGTCACCACGGACGACATGACTATCACCGCTTTCGGAGGTCCCTGCTTTGTCAAGTCCTCCATTTGTGCTCATGTGGTTCTGTGACTGCCTCTGCCCCGTCAGCCAACAGCCCCATCGCCGCACGCCACAGATTACCCAAAGGCCAGCGCCTTCGGCTACGGCCAAGTCCAAGAAGAAGACGTACGTACCGTTTGGCCCAGGACGACAACGGAAGCCAACGGAGGCCAAAGAGAGGAATGTGTACAAGTGACTCTACCGAGTACGAGAGTGGACGTGAGAAGGTTTATTCGTTCCAGTTATCGAATGCCAACGGCTCAAGTCGTCCGTGGGTTGCTCAAAGCCGTACTTGAGGAAGCTGCAGTGGCAGCCTCGCGCCTTCGCGGATTGAAATCTATTTTGCCTGTATCGTGCCCACTTGGCTCCTTCCGTCCTTCCTTTCAATTGCCTTGAACCTTGAGCTTGAGTTGCCAATTGCACGGTCCGGACGACACATTCATTACTACATAAATGTACCTACTTGAGTAGTATTGCAGTCTCCTGTTCTTTATGCCATTCATTGATTGATTCCTTTGTGTCCCGCGGTTTTGTTGTGTCCAACAATGTCGAGCCGATCGATTGTGTGCTACATGCAATCACGTCTCTCTGGTTTCACAAGCTAACGCAAGAGTGAGTCGATCTGTTTTGGACTCTTCCAACATGAGCCGCCGTGGCCCGGCGTCAATATCCATGGTCCGCGCTTCAGACCCCGACTCTAGTACCGTCCCTTCCACTCGTCAACCGTGAGCCTCGAGCTCGAGACCACAACAGGAGGCGAACCACCCGGCCTGGCATCTCCACCTCGCAGGTGGAACCGCACTCCCTTGGCCGGGGGGGCGTGCGCCTCAAACGTCTCCGGCTTCTTCCTCTTGATTCATCGTTGCCCACTTCATCTAGTGCATTCTCTCAGCCTTCCCTATAAAGGAGCACCATCCGCTGACGCAAGGTCGCCATCAGCCTGGTTTGTAATCTCTCCCTTTGTTTGTCGTAATCATCTACGCTCGCGAACCCAATATCTTCTCTCTCCCTCACCTCCTCCTGGACAAGCAACTTGTCTTCCGTGATCGACTCTACATTCGCTCAGAATCCTGCCGCCGTCCCTTTAGATTTGCCTGTCCCACCTAGCGAGCTCCGTCCTCGGCCATCGAAAGACGCTCAACCTACGCTCAACGACACAGCACCTACAATACAACTACGCCAAGCATCATGGCCGGCAAGAAGATCCGTTGCAGCACCAAGGACTGCCGAGAGCCTGTTCAACGCATCTTTGGCGACTGTGGTTTCTGCGGTGGTCACTTCTGTGGCAAGCATCGCCTGTTAGAGGACCACAAGTGCAGCGGTCTGGAAGATGTAGGTCAACCCAAGCATTGATGCGCTGCCATGCGGCCCCCGTGTCAAGACAGACAATACTGACTCTTTGCCTTGTTTTCCAGTGCAAGAAACAGTCACACGAGCGTAATGCTGCACAGTTGGAATCCGAAAGAACGCAGGTCATCCGTGGCGTTTAACTGGGTCACCACCACATGACTCTTGTACCAGCCCCGGCCGGCGTGCGAAGGCCCGAATCTACTACGGAAGCTCAATTTGAGTTGGATAAGTCTCTCTCAATCGACACAACGTGGCTGTTTTCTTTGATGAAATATGACTATACGACATTTCTGTATCGAGCGATTGCAATCTGGCGGCGTGGTTCTTGGGGGAGTAGAGGCGTAGTGGCCTACCGTTGTATTCTAATTATCGGCGACGACAGGTGTAACTGTCGCACGGCGTTCCGGGTTTTACTGCTGTTGTGATTTTCTGGATGGGGCCATCTGCCTCTATTCTGACTGGGGATTCTTGTTATTTTATTTATTTCACACATGAAATCGAGATTTACTATTCTCCTTGACGTGGCCCTCCCTGCCCTTCTGGGAACACGGTGGCTCGTGTGATTTTACAGTGCGACTTTGACTCCCTCGATACGTTTCAGACGTTTCATTTCCCATCTAAAATGACCCCCACCCGACAAACAGCTACGTTCCGCAATGCCAATGTCAATGTCAATGCCAATGCCAATGCCAATGCTCATGCTCCGTACGGAGTACTCTGTACTTGTGTACATACATACCTAGTGTACACAACTCAATGGCCGACAGTCGAGCCCTCCAATCTCGCAATGACTGATTGGTGACAACTCATTTTTCCCCAGTAGCCATGGTCTGAATGGCCACATCGCTCGTCCTTGGGTTCTACATGTCCCGTCACGTAGGGCATTCATGCATATGCGCGCCGTGTGTGCGGTCTGGTGGTCGGGGTCGGCAAATGTGGAATATGCAGCTTGTGCAGACCGCCACACCCTCACTCTGGTGGACGGAGCAGAGTTCTGCCTGTCCGGCACGGAGAATCCACCAGACGTGATGGAGTAACAGCACTAGTATTGCCTCTCCCACAAGTCCTGGACAAGATGTGGCCATGGCAATCGATACGCTTGACTATTGCGCCGGCGTATGTTCCCTCACATTTGCCATTGTTCACTGACCGCCTCTTTCTTGACCACGACTTGCTCGACAATCTCCTCCCTTTTCACCGCTACCTCACTCCCTTCAACCTGGACTTGTTCCTTTATCCTCCTCGCCTCGAGCACCTTTTTCTTCTCGGCGGCTTTGCAGAGCCCATTCAACCCCAAGTCGCAGTTGCCACACTTCCTCCCCACCGGCAGGCAGACTGCCTGCCCGAACCCGACGAGCAGCCAGTTTATTTCCCGCCACTTGTCCCTCGGCAGCCACGACTGCAGTGCGCGGCGCGTGTCTTCCGGGTTTTTCGTCTTGTTCCACCCCCAGAGGTTCGTGATGCGGTGGACGTGCACGTCGACGCCGATGCCTTCGGTGCGGTCCCACGCCGCGGAGAGGCAGAGATGGGCCATCTTGGGGCCGACCCCGGGGAGCGACGTGAGGCCTTGGATGGTGTCGGGGATGTCGCCTTTCCATTGATCCCGTAAGATGACGGCTGCTTGTTTGATGTACCTGGGTCATTAGCTTAGCTGGGCCCTCGAAACCGCTGTCCTTCTCGTGAATGTGCGGAGAGACGTACTTTGTCTTGTTGTTGTGGAATCCAACCGCCCAAATCAACTGATTCAAGAGACTGGCATCCACGGCCAGGACATTGTCCAGGTTTAACCCCGGCGGAGCGCCGGGCTTGTGCGGCGGCAGCTCCGTCTGTAGTCTCTTCATGGCCACGGCATTGACTGTGTCCTTTGTCTGGCTCGACAGCATGAGTGCTATGAGTGTGTGGAAGCGCTGGTCCTTGGGGGAGGCGCTGCGGTCTGCGAGCCTCTCGCATCCCATTGTGTCGACTGCGGCGCCGTGAGCCACGCCACCTGGGGCGCGCATCTTCTTGACGGCATTGTACATCTCTTGCCAGTCTGAGGGGGGCGATGTCCTTTCTTCGCCAGTCGTAGGGTCCGTCGTTTTCTTTGCTGGTTTTCGGGCCCGCCTCTTTGCAGGTGGTGATGGTACCGAGGACAAGGGTTCATCGGGGAGCTCGGTTTTCATGGCCTTCATGGGCGAGTCTGTGGATGTGCGCCGGCGCCGCTTGGGGGGCGGGCTTATGCTGTCTTCTATGTCGGGGGTTCTGGAGACATTTTGGTCCGAGGAGGTTGAGGACGTGCTTGCGTAGACGAATCGTGAGAGGGATCGGGTGATGCGGCGTGGCGGGGATGTTCGGGTAACGGGTGCGCTGCCAAATAGTTTGGATGTGTCTTTTGATATTCGTGAAGACCTCATTTTTTGGGAATGCGTGGTCGGCCGTCGGACTGGAGAATGGAGTTGCAGGGTGTGAAATCTGAATTTCGGTGGACGCGACGCGCTCTTGGCAGTGGTGCTGATGCATCGTGATTGCAGGCACTGTGGTTGGCTGACTCTGGATTTGGAGTGCACAGGTGTGCCCGCCCCTGTTGTTACGCCTTCACGTCCTGGTTTCGAAGATTACACATGATACGTCAATCGATGTCCTAGATGCACGCAGTAGCTATTCCGACTATATTGCTACTTAAGTACTTACTCGAATACCATAAGGTTTTAAATATCATGCCCCCTAGCAGATCCAACTCACAGTTGGATGGTTTTTTTTAAACCATGTAGGGTAGCCATTTTGATTTGCATTTCTGAGGCGCCTGGGCTAAGTTTGTATTAGCACAAACGTCTGTGCTGCTCATTTCACATTCTCCTTGGCCCATGTTCATTGCACGTAATATGTGAACACGTTTTCACTGCCATGTAGTATAGTGTATGGCCATCAAGGTTCCATTCTACGGACCGTATATTACCGGCGAGTCCCGCCACTCCCAGTTGCCAAACCTCACCTTTCCGAATACAATAACTCCATACTTGAACATCTCATCATTAACCCACTTTTTGCGACGTTGTGACCTGGATAACCAATTTTACAGCTTTCTCATGTCGACAACAGCACGGATACAGTCACCGCTCTTCATGACTTCGAAAGCAGAGTTCATCTCGTTCAGCGTCTTGCGGTGGGTGATGAACTCGTCGACCTTGAGAGCACCACTCATGTAGTCGCCAACAAGGCCGGGAAGCTGAGAGCGACCCTTGATGCCACCAAAGGCGCATCCCCTCCACACTCGCCCAGTAACAAGTTGGAAAGCTGGACCGGTGTGTTAACAAAATGACACTTCACTCATAACCATAACTGGGTAAAGTACTCACGTCGGGTGGCGATCTCTTGGCCCGCAGCAGCAACACCAATGATGATGCTCTCGCCCCAGCCCTTATGGCAGGCCTCAAGAGCAGCTCTCATGACAGTGACATTACCAGTGCAATCGAACGTGTAATCACAGCCGCCATCTGTCATCTCAACCAGCTTCTCAACAACGGTCTGGCCCTTCAATTCGGTAGGGTTGACGAAGTCGGTGGCACCAAACTTCTTGGCCCATTCCTCCTTGGAAGGGTTTACATCAACGACAATGATCTTGCCCGCCTTGTTGACAACGGCACCCTGGACAACTGATAGACCGACGCAGCCAGCGCCGAAGACGGCAATATTGGAGCCCTTCTCAACGTTGGCAGTGACACGGGCAGCGCCGTACCCAGTGGTGATGCCGCATCCCAGCAGACAGGTACGGTCCATGGGAGCATCAGCCTCAACAGCAACAACCGAGATATCGGCAACCACAGTATATTGGGAGAATGTCGACGTGCCCATAAAGTGAAGGAGATCCTTGCCCTTGCACTTGAACCGAGATGTACCGTCAGGCATCACTCCTTTGCCCTGGGTGGCTCGGATCTTGCCGCAAAGATTGGTCTTTCCAGACTTGCAAAACTTGCATTCCTTGCATTCCGGTGTGCTGTAGACGAATCATCGTTAGCAATCACGACCCCGCGGGGCTCATTGCGAGCTTCTACGAGATGGAAGCACGTACTACAGAGCGACGACGTGATCACCAGGCTTCACATTGGTGACACCCTCACCAACGGATTCGACAATACCGGCACCCTCGTGTCCCAAGACGATGGGGAACGCACCCTCGGGATCCTTGCCGGACAGAGTGTAGGCGTCTTTGCTCTTCCTGTTAGGTCGGGTAAAACTGTCTCTGAGGGCATGGGAGTCCAACCTGTGTGGCACACGCCAGTGTAGTAGATTTGGATTCGGACCTCGTGGGCCTTGGGAGGAGCAACTTCGATATCTTCGATGCTGAGCTCCTTGCCGGCCTCCCAGGCTACGGCAGCCTTGCAAGTGATGGTCTGTTGCGCGACATGACGGTCAATCTTTCAGTCTCTGAACAGAACGAGCAGGCGTCATTTGGAGGGGGTGAGTTTGCTGCTGGTGTTATCGCGCTGTACACACCTTTCCAACGGTGTCGGCCATTTTGAATGTTGTCAGCTCCGGGATGACGAATGTGTAGCTTTGCAGAGAGTAAGGCGAGTTGAAGAAACCCCAAACAGTGTTACGATGCTATGTGTAGAAAGCGTGCAGAGGGATACGGACAGCTTTAAAGTCAAATCGAGAGTCTGAGCAGTGAGGATAATCGAGATGCCGACACGCCGAAGAGCGCCGGCAGCTACCCCGCGCATGACGGGTGGATTAATAAGGACAGTCCACTTTGATGCTGGTGCCAAGTCAAGGTAAGAGTCAATCGGCCAGCACAAGACACGCTGGTCGTTCTAAACCCCGTTCCGGGCACCCATGGAGCACACAATCACTAAGTCCGTGTCCCCATCTCCGTTGACGGACGCATTGAAAATGAATGAAAGAAGTTCCATCACACCGTAGGCGCGCGACCTGTGTCTGGAATAGAGAGTCCCTCTGCAGGGTTCATGGTCGGTGGCGTCGACCTGACATTCCGGACCCCGAGCATATCCCGACGCGGCTCTCTAACCAAGATCCGTGCCAGCCCCTAGAACGTGCCAGAGATGGAAAGGCCCGGACATTAGCTCATGTTTACTCTTTTTTCTTTCTTTATTGCGCATTTTGTCTTGGGCCACTGCAGGCAAGGCAATTGTACACGTCGGGGAGCGCGCTGTGCCAAGGTGGCTGCCAACTGTGCCAAGTTCACTACCAGGTATAAGTACTTAGTAGGTAGGTTACTTGCTGAACATCCAGCTCGAGGGGTTGCATGCCATTGCATAAATTCATGGATTCATGTTTTGGAACTGAAAATGTCCAAGCTATGAAGGAAAATGAGATTTTCATTTATTATTATTTTTTTAAAAAAATTATACTTGGGGTAAAGTATATTTCGAAATTGGCATTGCGACATACAGAGTACTTGGTGGGGCATCACCACGGCCTTGTTGCTATGGCTCTGTTGATCCGCCCGGCTAAATTCCGGTCCCGATTGAGAGGCAATCGAGCTCCAAAAAATATACGAGAACGCGTTTGGGCAGCTCTTCATCAACACTTGGCGCAAAGCGGCAACTACTTCACTTAAAAGACACCACGATATATGCTCGCCTATCTCTGAATACTGAGAGCGTGGGGCTTATCCCGTCCACCGCCGCATTTGACTCGACTCTGGGGACGTGGACTCGACGGCAAGGTCGTCCGCAACATTTACCGTCGCAATGGCGCATCGATTCATGGTTCCCGACTCGAGCCCTGCGCCATCCACCCCGGACAAGAAATCAAGGAATGGAATGACCTTCTCGTTTTTGGGCGCTATGCCCTCGACGACACCAGCTGGACCGCCCCCATCATCACAAGCCTCCTTCACTCCGGCGGGAGCTCCTTCAGAATCTTACCTTGGGAGCTCCATCTTGCGAGAAGTAAGCACCAACGGTAGACCTTTCGGCTTCGCTGGTACTCAATCACAGAATGCCCCGGGGAGAAATCTGTTTGGTCGCCCTGAGCCCTCTAATGCGCCACTCGGCCACTCCATCAAAGGAGGTCACCGCCAGCCCTCCAGCCTGAGCAGGCAATTTAGCATTAGCGATGAAGAAGCAGAAGCCGAAGCCGAAGACGCTGAAGGGGGGAACGTACTCCCACCACATAGCTTGTTCCGTAAATCCAGTACCCTGCCCCACCGAGACGGCGACGAGGACGACGAGGACGCAGAGGGCGACGATATCGAAGCCGAGATCGAACGATACATTAACCAAGACATGGAGGGTGATAAGGATGTTGAAGGCGAGGAGAAGGAGGAAAAGGAACATGAAACTTCTGAGGAGGGCTCTGATGAAGGGGACTTGTTTCTGAACATGCGACACAATGACCGGCCCTACGGACAACCCATCATCGGCGAAGGTGACGACTTGATGATGCTGAATACTCCGGCTGCAGCAGACAGAGTTCGAAGGGAAGCTGAAGACATTTTCCGACGGTCGTCAGCACGACTCGGGGGCTCCCTGCGACGAGAATTCCAGTTTGCGACTATTGCTCGAGATATGTACACCCAACACGATGCTGCGAGAATTACAGAGTCTCCTGACTTGATTCTCAAGACAGAGGACTTGGTATGCCGACTTTACGACGAGGGCATCGGAGCGGTGGATGATGCGGAAAAAATGGACAACTCTTTAGCCAATATTTCATTTCGACTGGTCAAGCTCTGGAATGACCATGTCGAGGACCTGCCTCGACCCGAAGGGGAAGACTTTGCGACCATTGGGCCTGGAGCTGATGCTGACCCGTTTGAGAAGGCAGCGTATGTTGCTCACTTAGCTCTGCGCTTGCACCACACCAGGTTTGACAACGACTTGGAAGATGAGAAGACACCACCTCTGCCCGAAGTTCTTTTCGATTGGCAGCAAGCAAGCCACAATCTGTACCCGGACCAAATTCGCGAAATCAGCCGCTACAAGCCTGGCCCAGCTTGCCATAGCTTATACTGGCAAACGCTTCGAAACGCCCTACTCAGAGGCGATGTACGCGGGGCCTCTCAACTTTTGAAGAATGCTGGGTGGGAGAACGTTCGAAGGGGACCAAGAGGCGATAATGCATACACGGGCAAAGCACTGGAAAATGTTCGCCGATTCGCGGAAGCGACCTGTGACATGCTGGAGAAGTGTCCAGCTATGGCGGGCGACTGGGACATTTGGAACAGCAGCTGGACTCTGTTTCGTGTCCAGGCTCGTGGGTCTCTGGATAGGCTGAAACTATTTGCCGAGGGCCGCGATACGCAATTCTCAGGGTCCCTGGATGACAGCTACTCCCCTGAGCCACAGTCTATGTCAACGATGGCCCGAAAGGCATCCAGTCAAATACCTTGGGATGTGTATGAAAACCTACAAATCGTGTACGGCATTGTTCTTGGAAACCACGAGTCTATTTTGGAGACAGCCCAGGACTGGTGCGAGGCAACAATTGGGCTGTTTGGATGGTGGGATGATGGAAGCCAGCGTCATAAAAACCTGAGGCTGTCTCATGCTCGAGGTTTCCGAGCGTCTTCTGGATCGCAGTTGGGGGCCTCATCGGACTATTTCGAGCGACTGGGTTCCGCATTCCGCCTTGTTCTTCAATCGGACATGAGCCCCAATCCTGTGAATGCCGTTGAAGTCGCCATTGCCTCCTGCTTTGAAGGCAACGTGAATGGCGTCATCGGGCTTCTAAGGATCTGGTCGCTTCCCGTAGCATCATCTGTAGCTGAGATCGCTTCACTGGGCGAGTGGCTACCTCCTACAGAGACTGCCAAGCCGTTGCCAATAGATACCTTGGATATGGATGACCTTGCTTTACTCGGTCTGGTGCCACCCTCAACTGACGAGCTGGAAGGGATCAAAGACACCACCCTTGTTTTGTACGCGCGGGAATTGGCCGGAATCGAGCGTCTTTCGGCGCACAAAGATGGATGGGAAATGGCCATCCAAGTCCTGGGTAGAATGGACCAGCCGCAGAAGTCGGAGGAAACTGTTGGGGAGCTCCTCCGAGATTTGCTTGCGACACTGGACGAGAATTCCAGCAGAACTGTCGACCGAATGTGGAGGATACTCAATGATCTTGGCATGATAACTTATGCCGAAGAGACGGCAGAGGTTGGTTTACTAATTTGCCCAACGTGAGAAGTACTGTAGCTGATTTTGATGACGCAGACGTTTGCCGACATCTTATCTAGGGAGTCCCATAGATACGGCGAGGTACTTTGGTATTATGCCGTGTCACATCGACCAGACAGGGTGCGAGAAGTCTTGAACCTTCTCATAGCATATTCACTAGTTCAATCGACGGCGTTCCCGGCTAAACATGAGTTAGACGAAGACCTTAGCAATTTGCTTTGCAAGAGAACAGAAACCCTGGAAGCCAAAGCGAAGCAAGATTTGGAGGCTGCACAGCTGCTGGGCCGCATGCTCAGCGGCTATGCTACGCTGCGCAAGTTTTACGAGATTCGTGATGAGCAGAAGCTGGAGGAGATTTCAAGTACAAAAGCGAAAGCACTCAAGAAACAGGCAGCGATGGCTTTGATGGCTGTTATTTCCAGCGCAGATGATAATATTCGAGGAGGACTATACGACGAGTCGCGCGATGCAGTGGTCAGCGAGGACTTTTTGCTAGCCCTGCTCGGCGAGGCTACCGTCTTCATCAACCAGACGCCCTCAGTCATTTCTCTTGATCAGATTGATGTTCTTCTCAAGGCGGTCGAGGACGTGCAAGCTGTGGGATCGCGGGTCTACGACTCTTGCGACTCCTTCTTTGGCTTGGTCCTTTCGTCAGGGCAGGGTCTGAAGGGATCTACACCAGCGGATCTCATGGAGAAGTCGACGGCATCGTTGAGCGGAAGCAGTTATGTCATGAGCGGGAGCTCAATGCTTGTCAGCCACATGCACAAGTCAACCATGTCTGGCGGCAAGACTACTCGAGGCTGGGACTGGAGGAAGGGATGGCATGTGTCCAGCAAGGGCAAGGATGTGCTCCGGAAACTGCGACTAGGGCTGTCGAAGGACCTTGCAGCGTTGTGGCTGGAAGATGCTGACGGGGTTGCTGTATATTGATGATAACGGGGAGCAATATTGTATAATAATATAGTGCGTTTGTATGTACGGCGTATACAACGGATGGGAAGGCATCGGACTATCGGCGCCGGGATGTGATTGCGTGATCCACAGGACCGGACCGAAACGCGCAAGAGTTGAGTGACTCAAGCCTGGACCAATCCAACAGCGTCAATTAAAAATTTGGACCCCACATCCAGGCTCGGAGGACCCCAAGATCCAGTCATCCTCGTCTCGAATAAACAGACCGTCTTGCACAGACAAGACTGTCGTCGTGAACACAATGGCCCCAATTGAACTGGCCAGTCGCTCAGGAGGCGCCATGACGGTACGAGCACACTCGCGACTTTGCTCGATTTCCCAAAATTCCAACCAATGCTAATTTTCTGTCCCTGCAGAGTCTCCTGCGAGGCGCAGTGCGCAGCTCCGGCTCCGGAGCACACGCATCGTCACCGGCATCACCAGCGCTGTCCGGCCTGCTCACCCAACGCCGGCGCTTTTCAAGCGTCAAATCACTGCCGCCAACCTACGAGAAGCTCTTCACCAAGTACACCGACGTGCGCAGGGTCCTGGGCTCGCAGCGCCTGACGCTGGCCGAAAAGATCCTCTACAGCCACCTCGACAACGTGGAGGAGTCGCTGCTCACAAACACCTCCAACGGGCGCCATGTCCGCGGCACGGCCAACCTGCGTCTCAAGCCGGACCGCGTCAACATGCAGGATGCGTCTGCGCAAATGGCACTGCTGCAGTTCATGTCGTGCAATCTCGAGCGGCCCGCCATCCCGGCCAGCATCCACTGCGACCACTTGATCGTGGGTTCCAAGGGCGCCGGCGATGACCTCGAGGCCGGCATTGCTGCCAACAAGGAGGTATTTGACTTTCTGGAGAGCGCGGCCAAGAAGTACGGCATGGACTTTTGGCCGCCCGGAGCCGGCATCATTCACCAGACCGTCCTGGAGAACTACGCCTTGCCCGGGCTGATGATGCTGGGGACCGACAGCCATTCGCCCAATGCGGGCGGCTTGTGTACCGTGACGATTGGCGTGGGCGGCGCCGATGCCGTCGAGGCCTTGGTGGGCGCGCCGTGGGAGCTCAAGGCCCCCAGGATCCTGGGCGTCGAGCTGACCGGCAAGCTGGGCGATTGGGCGTCGCCAAAGGATGTTATTTTGAGACTGGCCGGCGAGCTGACCGTTCGCGGCGGGACGGGCTACATCATCGAGTACTTTGGCGACGGTGTTGAGACGTTGAGCCTTACGGGCCAGTCGACCATCTGCAACATGGGAGCCGAGGTTGGCGCCACGACCTCAATCTTCCCGTATACGCAGGCCTCTGCTCGTTATCTCCAGGCGACCCGTCGTGCTCGGGCCGTCGACAATGTCAATGCTCTCCAGAGCTTCCCCGATGCGGGAGCCCCCGAAGACGCTCGCTTCCAGTTCAAGGCCGACGCTGGTGCCGAGTACGACCAGGTCATCAAGATCGACCTCTCCGAGCTGGAGCCTCACATCAACGGGCCCTTCACGCCCGATCTCGCCACCCCGCTGAGCAAGTTCAAGGACGTCGTCAAGGACCAGCAGTGGCCGGAGAAGCTGTCCGCCGGCCTGATTGGCAGCTGCACCAACAGCTCCTACGAGGACATGACCCGTGTAGAGAGCTTGCTCAAGGAGGCTGCCGAGGCTGGTCTCAAGCCCGCCGCCGACTTCTACATCACCCCCGGCAGCGAGCAGATTCGAGCCACCCTCGAGCGCGACGGAACGCTCGACACCTTTGAGGGAGCGGGCGGCATCTTGCTGTCCAACGCCTGCGGCCCCTGCATCGGCCAGTGGAAGCGGCAGGACGGCGTCGAAAAGGGCACCTCCAACGCCATTCTGTCCTCGTACAACCGCAACTTCCGCGGCCGCAACGACGGAAACCCCGAGACCATGAACTTCCTGGCCTCGCCCGAAATCGTCACCGCCATGGCCTTTGCCGGCTCAACCACCTTCAACCCCGTCACCGACACCCTCGAAACCCCGTCCGGCAGGCCCTTCAAATTCTCCCCGCCCCACGGCCTCGAGGGTCCCCAGACGCCCTTCGAATCCGGCGTCCCCTCCCTCGGCGTGCTCTCCCAAGACGCCGACCCGTCCGTGCAAATCGCCATCTCCCCGTCCTCCGACCGCCTTGCCTTCCTCGAGCCCTTCGCCCCCTTTCCGCGGTCCGACCTCGCCGGACTCAAGGTCCTCGTCAAGGTAACCGGCAAGTGCACCACCGACACCATCTCCGCCGCCGGCCCCTGGCTCAAATACAAGGGCCACCTGCCCAACATCTCCACCAACACGCTCAACACGGCCGTCAACGCTGAAACCGGCGAGGTCAACGCCGCCTACGATCTCGACGGCTCCAAGCACACCATCCCCGAGCTGGCGGAGCTCTGGAAGACCCGCGGGCAGGAATGGCTCGTCGTGGCCGAGCACAACTACGGCGAGGGGTCGGCGCGAGAGCACGCCGCCTTGCAGCCGCGCTATCTCGGCGCCAGGGTCGTCCTGACAAAGAGCTTTGCCAGAATTCACGAGACCAACCTGAAGAAGCAGGGCGTCGTTCCGCTGACGTTTGCCAACGAGGCCGACTACGACAAGATTGCGGCGGGGGACGAGGTTGCCACCATTGGGTTGTATGACATGTTGCAGAATGAGGGCAAGGGCGATGTGCAGCTCAAGGTGAAGAAGAGCAGCGGCGAGGAAATTTTAATCCCGACCAATCATGCGGTTACCAAGGATCAGGCCGGGTTCATTTTGGCTGGTAGTGCATTGAACTTGCTCTCAAAGGGAATTTAAACAGGACCATGGCCAAAGGCCGAGCGTGGCCGTCCCTTGTTGAGTCGTCTGCTGTATTTTATTCCTTTTTCTTGGCGATGTTGTTGGCGTTTGGTATATCCAAAAAAGATAGAAAGTTCCAATTGATTGAGTCACCTTGACCGCCGTCTTGTACTGTGATATCCGTGTATATTCATTATTTTTACTGGAGTCGCTGTTTATCTACTCTAACGCCAAGTCACCGCATGGTATTCATCAAAAAGTGATCGTATCTCAAATGGGTATATGCCAAACGCCATCAAAGCCAAAACCACTAATACCTTTTAACTCCGTTCATCATTCATACTGGAGCTTGATCACTACCTTCCGTTCCCGGGTCCGGAATCCCTCCCTGCGATAGGATCATGTAGTACTCATTCGCTTCCTGCTCGCATCTTTTAGATTCGCGGAGCCGCATGCCTCGTAAGTTTTGTTGCTGTCTGAACCATTCGCAGGCTTTTAGCCAGTCCGGATTCTGCCGTACCTTTTCGGGGAGTTTTGACTCAGGCACATCCCCAAAATCCAGAGGCCTCCTATAGGCTCCTGGCTCTGGATCAGCGCGTTCTGGCATCTGGTCACAGGTTACGTCTTGCGTTTTAGAAGATCTGATCTGCTTCCTCTGCAACCATCGCAGACGTGCAGAAACTTTACCGAACCAGAACTTGCGACCGCCGCGTGACTGAATCTCGAGGGCTTTTTTTTCGTGCCACACTTCAGACCTGTTGTGCATTCCATGGATAGCTGGGTTTGCATAGATGTAAGTCGTCTGACTTAAGGAGGGCTTGTTTTCTATACGCGGACCGATCACTACTCCAGCAGGGGGAGGTGCCGCATCAGGTTGCTGATATAAAGCTGTGTCAAACGCAGATGAGTTAAATTGTACTGATTTGACTTTCATCTGAACGGCGATTTCTGCAGGTGTGGTGATGTTGTCCTGAAGAGGAACTTGCGAGGCAGGCCGAATGGTGTCTTTAACGACTCCTTGGATTACACTTGTACTAGCAGTGGAAGCAGAAGAGGTAACTGCGACTTGTTGAACACCATTTAGGGGATCTGGAGGCCTGTCATCGCGCTTTCGTTTCTGCCCTGGAGTGCGGGGAGTATCATGAGTCACTATTTGACATATATGATTCGTGGATGGCAAGTCAGACGATGCGTCTGATATGGATAGCGACGGTGGGTTGACTTTGTTATTTGCGCCAAGGCGGTTAGCTCTGGCAACCTGCACCGGCTCGGCTTTTTGGACGGGAGCAAGATTTGCTCCGTTGGTAGCTGCTGAAGGTTCCGAATCAAGGCTTGGGCCATCTTGTGTCAAGTCGATATATACCTGACCATAATATGAGCTGTTCCCCTTCCGGCTGGAACTTATTGGCGGCGGCTGAGATCTGGGAATAGTTGGCGTTGGTGAATAGGATGCCTTGACTGGCACAGTCTCTATTGGTATCCTGCCTATCGATTTCGGCTGTTCCATGATTGGTGCGCTGAAGGTGAACTCGTACAAGTTGTCATTGGGCATGCGAACCCTACCCAGTGGCGGAGGATCTAGCGCACGCCGTGTGCGGGCCGAGATCGTAGAGACCTGCCCTGCTGGCTCAGATGCATGTTGATATGAACTCTGAATACCATCTGGACACCATGGTTGCCTGCTCTGGAACGAATTTCGTGAAACTTGCGTGTGAATGGACAAGTCTGTCCTTGTACTAGCATGATGTGTGCGGGCACGAGAGGCGTATGGAACAAAATGCGGAGGCTTAGACGCGGCCGCTGTTGCTGACTCAGTGGGCACGACAGGCGCGACACGCGTAGAAGATGAGTTGGATAAAGTATGTTGGACTGGTGGAAGGGGTGAGAAATTAGTCGCTGTAGTAGAGCCCGGGAGAGACCTTGGTGTTCTCTTGGCCGTGTACTTGTGTGGTCCAGTATTCTTCGCGAATTCCCCCCCGGAAGTATTTACAGTCACGCTACTTTGAGAGCAAGCTGACGATGTTGCTTTTCCTTCAGGGTTTAGACTGCTCATAATGTTCGCTCATGTCAAGGTATCGTGAAAGCTTCGCAGAAGGGGAGAGCCGTATAGCCCACATCTGTGCAACTGAACTTGACGCGTCCCCCGAAGCGCCGGAGAGGAATTCACCGGTGACGAAACATTAGTGATGAAAAACTGATGAGCTCGAAGGATGAGAAATCCTGTTTGAGAATGTACTATGCACGGATGTGTTAGAAATAGTTATTCGTCCATGCACTCGATACCAGAAAGGGAAACAAAATAGGACAGCGTCAGATCTTTTCAGTTATTCATTTTGGACTTCAGCCAAGGAACAGCAGCGGTTATGAGTTGACTCTTGCAGAATTGGGACAAGGTAATGCATCCTGTTGATCGCGGCCTTTGGTCTTTGATCCGTGGAATACGAGAATCAAAACTCCAGTTTGCGACGCGTGATGTACGTCGGGTGTGCTGCCGCGAACCTCTGTAAGGAAACGTTCCCAATGGGATTATCAACAGCACGCAGACGCCAGCTAAGTCCAACTCCCATCTAGCGTAACGTAGTCTGGGGTGGCTTGCTGTATGAATTGAAAGAGACTCAAAACACAGAAGGTTCCGCTCGGTCAGACCTTTTACCACATGGCATCACTCGCTGCAAGAGTTGGTGGGAGATTGTTGAACAGAAGCAAGCAAACTGGACTCACCAGATTTTGCAGAGAACCCCCGTGTTAGTGACGAGAAAACTCAAACAAGGTCCCGGGCCCTTCGTAGGGTGCAGCTGTGGTGAAGCAAAATAAGCGGCTGTGGGACAACAAGGCAAACGAGGTGACACGCGAGCCTCAAGCTGCGAGGTTGAGTCTCCTACTGGCTGTGAGGCAGCCCATACAATTGCCGAGTGAGTAGGAAACATGGGCAGGATTAAGCTGATGCGAAAGATGCCGCATCGAGACCAAACGCGGCCGAGGGGAAGGCGAGCGGAAAGAGTGGCTGAATGCCGAGTATTTGAAGTTGGTGAAGGAAAGGAAGCCAGGTTGAGTTTCCGGCTGTCATAGTCGCTGGCGCTTAGCGGGGCGGGATGCACATCCGGAGGAAAGTGGGCCGTTTGTGCCTAGTCGCTGACTGGCTCGACTGGCACAATATCACAAAGACTATGCATTTACTTAGTATGTACAGAGTACGGGTGTACCCAGGGACTTGGTGCCATCTTTCCATGTGTCTGGATGAAAAATAAAAACAAAAACAAAAATAAAAGCCATGCAAGTGCCTAAGCACCTGCAACATGAATGGCATATTATCGAAAACGATAGTCTCCAGTGCCTTCGGCCCCGGTGATGCTGACATATTGTTGCGCATAGAATGACATGGAGAAGGTAGGAACGACTCAAGGACTAGGCACAGGCGGGGCCCGAGATTGAAAGCGAGGGGCCACCAGCCGGAGGGGCCACGCGAGCCTTGGCAAGCTGGCTTTCATCCACCACGCGCAACCCTTTAGCCATTGAAGCTTCGTGGCTGCTTACATGTAGGCCTGCCTTGCATTCTTCTACCTGTTGGCTTTGCGCGCCGCTGAGCCTGTGCAAGCTTTGTGCATTTCAGAAGCCACCGATACCTTCATCTTTGCACATCTTCATTGGTACCGATTCGAGCGACTGATTCACTCCTGTTGACTGGCTACCTAGCAGGCATCTTGCCTGGTCATGGACTTTCTAAAGAATGCCGTGGCATCTGCCATTGCCACGGGGCCTCCGTTTCCATACAGCTTCGGAGATAAAGTCGACATTGACGAGTCCGTTTTTACTCTGTACAATGGAACGAAGAGGGTTCGGAATCACGCTGCCCGGCCTGCGATTGCATCACATGCTAACCCTCTGGTTTAGGAAGACGGGTCAAACTGCAGCATCTTCTCCTTTGATACCACAGCCAATAGAGGCCGCCTCCCTCTGGCTAGAAATGCGCTGAAGAAACTACGGACGATGCGACACCCCGGAGTTATAAAGGTGTTGGATACCGTCGAGGTATACAATGCCAATTCGCCATCTCGAACGTGAACCCTTTTGCTGAACCCAGACCAGACCGAAACCTACATATATATTGCCACTGAGCGGGTCGTTCCTCTTCGATGGCATGTGCGCCGAAAGAGTCTCGCCCCCGAAACAATTAAATGGGGCTTGCATAGTGTTGCGGTGCGAAAGATGTGTACCGAGGAAGAAGAGCATTCTTACTTGCTAACGACTCCTTAGAGAACCATCAAGTTTATTAATGCCGACGCGTCGTCGATCCACGGAAACCTCAAAGTGGGATCTGTATATACGTCGGAAAGCGGGGAGTGGAAGCTGGGCGGGTTTGAAGTTTTGAGTAGCGTCAAAGACGATGAATCTGTCATCTATGTGAGCATGAGCAGTCAGCCGCCAATGCCAGTTGCTGACCATTCCTGTAGACATATGGAAGCTTAGTACCCGATTCAGCTCGCTATGCGCCGCCAGAGTTGGCTCAAGGTGGATGGGATGTCATCAAGAAGAACCCACACTCAGCGGTGGACTCCTTCAACTTTGGAGTACTGATATTCGAAACATTTAACAATGAGTACAATGGAAGCGGCCAAGCTGGCCAAACGAAGAATATCCCTCCAACGATGCAGTCAAGTTACAAGAGACTCTGCAATGCTAATCCCAAGGCTCGTATTGCCGTATCTGCCTTTCTCGAACAAGGCAACAGGACGGGGTCGTTCTTTGACAGCCCCTTGATCAAGTTAACGGACGGTATCGACAACCTCGGAATGAAATCTCCCAGCGAGAGAGAGGAATTTTTGAGGTAATTCTACATTGCAAGATATACTCTCATGTCCCGAGACTAATAACATGGCAGCGATTTAGACCAACTCACTGACGATTTCCCCGAAGAGTTCTTCAAAATGAAGGTCCTACCTGAGTTGATCAAGTCGGTTGAATTTGGTGGCGGCGGCCCCAAGGCTCTCGGTGTCATTCTGAAAATCGCTGCCAACATGTCCAACGACGACTTTGAAACTAGGATAACACCATTTATTATCAGGATGTTTGCAAACCCAGATCGAGCTATTCGAGTGTATCTATTGGACAATCTACCGTTGATAATCGACCGACTACCTCAAAAGATTGTCAACGACAAGCTATTTCCTCATATAGTTGGTAACCCCTGGCACCAATTGAGATAACCCTAGCTGACACTTACGTAGGTCACGGGATTCACAGATGTTCAACCAGTCGTTCGAGAGCAGACGCTGAAGTCGGTTCTCCTTCTCATCAACAAGTTGTCTGATAGGACTATAAATGGTGACCTACTCAAGCACCTGGCGAAAACTGCAAACGACGAGCAGCCTGGTATCCGAACAAACACCACTATCTGCTTAGGAAAAATTGCTAAATATCTTGGAACGTCTTCCCGCTCCAAAGTTCTCATCGCTGCATTTACACGGTCTTTGAGGGACCCATTCGTCCATGCCCGAAATGCTGCTCTTATGTCACTTGCCGCCACTGCAGAGCACTTCACCGAAGAGGACTGCGCCGCCCGCATTCTCCCCTTAGTCTGCCCATTGATGATTGATAAGGAGCGAATGATTCGAGACCAGGCAAATCGCACCATTGACTCGTATCTTCAGAAGGTTCGCAAAGCTGCTTCGGCTATGCCTGACACAGCTCTCCCCCCTCCGAAGGCGGGAGAAACCCAGCCTGCAAGAATGGGGACGCCGCAGCAGAGCGGTTCTGCTGGCTGGACGGGCTGGGCAATATCCTCGTTCACTAATAAGCTTTCGACTGCAGCGGGCGATATGCAGACGACAAACGGCGGCTCGGGAGTCAACTCACCAAAACCGACCCCGTCACCTGGCCCTGAAACCAGACGATTGCCAAGTACCTCTGCATCTACTCGACATAAACAAGCTATCAGCCCGCCGCCAACCCAGACATCTGGGACAACATCACCGAGCGCCAGCGCAATGGCAGATGCCTTCTGGCAGGATGACGGATTTGATGACGCAGGTGATGCGTGGGGGGAAATGGGAGATGATGATGAGGTTATACCATCATCGACTACGAGCAAGGCCCCTGAAAAGACTGTGCCGTTTGATGATGGAGAAGAACCAGATTTTGCTGGGTGGCTAGCAGCCCAAGCACAGAAGAAGAAGCCTGGATCAGCCAAACCACTGCCCAAAGGCCTATCCAAGTCGACGGCGACGAAGAAACCAGCAGCCAAACCAGCCGCAAAGACTGCTGCTAAAGTACCGGCGGCCAAGAAGATTGATATGAAGCCGAAAGAGACCGATGACGATGATGGATGGGGGGATGGGTGGTAAATTCCACGTTGCTACCTGCGCAGACTATAGCGATGGCCAGTGTGGCAGGGAGAGGTGAGCTTGGTGGAGTAAGTGTCGTATGGAGGCGCATATGTGAGCATTGGGATACCATATAACGTGAAATTTGACCATGCATCATGGAGTCATGGATAGACTTGAATGTGCATAAATAATAGAGTTGACTGCGGTTCAATATTGCTGGTGTAAGTGG